CAGTTTGCCTATTTTTGTTTATACTACTGTTAAACTGAACGTATAGTACTTGTATTCACCATAGAATTTGCTTCTATTTGTACATACATTTTGTACCACAAGAATTTATTGTAAGCACCATACAATTGCTTCTGTTTGTACATACCACAAGAATTTATTGTAATCACCATATAATTGCTTCTATTTGAACATACCACAAGAATTTATTGTAATCACCATATAATTGCTTCTGTTTGTACATACCTCAAGAATTTATTGTAATCACCATACAATTGCTTCTATTTGCTTCTATTTGTACATACCACAAGAATTTATTGTAATCATTATACAATTGCTTCTATGTGTACATACAACAAGATTTTATTGTTATCACCATACACCTGCTTCTGTTTGTACATACCACAAGAATTTATTGTAATCACCATAAAATGTTGCTTCTGTTTGTACATACCACAAGGATTTATTGTAATCACCATACAGTTGCTTCTGTTTGCACATACTACAGTTGAACTAAAAATACTTTTTGCCTCTTACTGTACATACCAAATTTGAACTGAACATACAGATTGCTTATGTGTTCGTTTGTTTTTCACTTCCGACAGTTGTAATCACCATACAAATCACTTCTTTTTTTGTTTTTTACTTTCCACAGTTGTAATTACCATACCGATGTTTTTTTTTGTTGGTTTTTACTTTCCACAGTTGCAATCACCATACAGATTGTTTCTAATTTTGTTTTTTTAATTCTACAATTGTAATTACCATACAAATCACTTCTCTTTTTCTTGTTTTTTACTTTCTACAGTTGTAATCACCATACAGATCGTTTCTATTTTTATTTTTTACTTCCACAGTTGTAATCACCATACAAATCACTTCTCTTTTTTGTCTTTTACTTTTAACAGTTGTAATCACCATACAGATCGTTTTCTATTTGTGTTTTTTTACTTCCGACAGTTGTAATCACCATACAAATCAGTTCTTTTTTTTGTTTTTTACTTTCCACAGTTGTAATCACCATACCGATGTTTTTTTTGTTGGTTTTTACTTTCCACAGTTGCAATCACCATACAGATTGTTTCTAATTTTGTTTTTTTAATTCTACAATTGTAATTACCATACAAATCACTTCTCTTTTTCTTGTTTTTTACTTTCTACAGTTGTAATCACAATACAGATCGTTTCTATTTTTATTTTTTACTTCCACAGTTGTAATCACCATACAAATCACTTCTCTTTTTTGTTCTTTACTTTCCACAGTTGTAATCACCATGCATACAGATCTTTTTTTGGTTTTTACTTTTAACAGTTGTAATCACCATACAGATCGTTTCTATTTGTGTTTTTTACTTCCCACAATTGTAATCACCATACCAATCACTTCTCTTTTTTGTTTTTTACTTTCCTCAGTTGTAAGCACCATACAGATCGTTTCTCTTTTTTTTTCTTTATTTTTTACTTTCCACAGTTGTAATCACCATACAGATCGTTTCTCTTTTTTTTTCTTCATTTTCCACTTTCCACAGTTGAAATCATCATACAGTAGCTGTTTGCTTGTATTTTTTTGTGTTTTTTTTTACTTCCCATAGTTGAAGTCACCAACCAGATCGCTTCTGTTTGTGCATACCACAGTTCATAACACCATATTGTTTGTATTCTCAATAGAACTTTTCCAAGATGGAGAGTGGTCTGTAGAGGCTTATGGCTTATTCTTAACCCGAAGACAAAGTTACAAACTAGGTACTTACCGAAGTTGACCAATTCGTATAGTTTGAGCTTGCCACTTTCGTACTTACCATAGTTATTCAACAAAGAGCAGACTATAAGTAATATGAACTTTTTCTGGAACAAATACATTTTTACATTTCGCTTTTTTAAATACCGTTATAACTACATCTCTATGTTATAACCATGTGAACAACAATCTCACGACAATATCCGAACATATGATTTACAAAATATTTAAGATTTTGATATACCACGTGTATCTAGGTGTACTTATTGATGTTTCAATTAGAAATATCTTGTCAACAAATCAATCATATATGTAAACTTTATATCAACAAATATCCTCTCAAAACAAAGTTTTACATGATTTTGTAATACGGGCTGTGTGAAACTTAAAAATTTGTATTATTTCAACGTACATATTTTGTACTGATTAAGGCGATTAAAACAGTATTGACACAATGAACTAAAAATACTTCCAAAATACAAGATTGATTGCCACTACACAGCACAAACTACAATTAACAACTTGTTACAGTTCAAAATGAAAAACGAGTTATATTTTTAAATGGAAATCAAAACTTGATTTATAATGCAATATAGTAAGGAATTACCGAAGCTAACAAATCTACAAAATTAGTGGGATAAATAAGTTAAATCTGTTTTTCAATGATTTAATAATAATAAAAAAAGGCCCATCAAATTTCGAAAGTTGAATATCAAAAAAGATGTGCGGGGAACGAAATGTGAATACAAACGAGATTTTAATTTCGAGGGGGGAGGAGAACAGATATTTGCTTTGTGGCGTCAAATCTTTCCGGGAAAAAACACCCATTTAAAGATCATGTATTCAATCTTCATGTTTATCAATAATGTATATAAATAGTTGGTTTAAATGTGAGGAATTTATGAAACACATCCTACAAATATCAAGTGAATAATCTTATAAAACAATACTTTATCAAGCTAGTCCTAACCCGGTTCAAGTCTTGTTTATTTCTATAAAGTTCCTTTACTGTGTTTTGTAAACAGCTTCTGGCAATACAATATGACATGTAAACAGCTCGATGTCCTGGTTTACGTAAGTTAAAGTCAGGTAGGTTCATGGCAATTCATTGGGAATTCCTCTGAAATGTTATCATTTTGTTTATTCAGGACTTTCTTTTTCAAATGGACCGAAAACATCATTGTAAGGATTAGCAAGTACATGTATATCCTCTTTAAAATCGGGTGGTATATTCAAAGTATTTTCATGTGCTAATTGCATCTTTTTAAAGAAAAATACAAAATTGTTTATCAATTTAGTAATAAATAGAAAGAGAAAATAGTAATAAAAAGGAACTGGTAGACACATATTCGTCCAACTTTTCATTGTATATGTACCAGTGTACAAATAAATAGAAAGGATACCGTTGTTTCTAGTTTATATAGTTGATCAATTTGTAAATATATCATGTATATTGGACTAATAAATTTCCAGGACTGTCATTACATCATATTGGATATATACCTGCATGATTTACAGTTTATAAATTACTTCTTTAAACTTATCCTCAAGTCATCATTAACTAATGCATATATTTAAACCTGACAAAAAACTTTTTTAATATTATTTAGTCTCTTAGATACTGTCGTTTGGAAGTGTAAGTAATGCAAAGCAAAGTGGACATAGATTTGTAATTAGGGTAATGATAATAACATAAACGGTTTGTAATTCCTTCACTAAGGCTAGTTTTAAGTGGGAGATTCATATACAACCGAATACACAAATGCTGTCAGCTGCATATAACTGATAAATCTATAATTTCTTTCATTTATTTTTTAATGAAAATTGAAATACATGAGAAGTGTGTTACGGTGGAAATAGTCAGCCTGTGAGGTATTCAACAGCATCTTCATTATTTCTAAGTATGAAAAAAAAGAAAATTTGGGGTATCCTTCAGACACAGTATCCAGACAACATTATTTTAGAAATTTGTGTATTAATAACATTTTTAACATGAAAATACTTTCTATCTTTTGGTAGTTTAGTATTAAGAACAATGATACCGCAAATAGTAGACCCTTTGAATATTGAGGAAAAACAGACAACTATTGTATAGCAATATAATTGAGAATGGAAACGGGAAATGTGTCAAAGAGACAACAACCCGACTAAAGAACAGAAAACAACACAAGGTCACAATGGATCTTCAACGCAGCGAGAAAATCCCGCCCCGGAGGCGTGCTTCAGCTCGCGTCTAAACAATAATCATTATGTACTAGTATACTAATTCAGCAGAACATAACCAAAAGCTAGCGTGCATTATATATCAAATTGCACAAATTGGGGCAAAAAAGCCTTAAATTAGTGACGGCATCAGGGACAGCAATATGTTTAAACCCATGTTCATGTTTGCTATGCAATATACTGCATAAATACACCTTATGTAAGAATCCTGGGTTTGGATTGGTTGATAGCCAGTGTATTTTTCACCAATTTACTGTTATCAAATGAATATTGTTCATTTTTTAACGCCGCCGGGGTATATGCAAAAAGGATATGCCTTTTTTACCCTCTCTGCCATGGTATTTTCCAAAAAAATACTCTATCCGACTTGACGCTTGTAACGTCACGATCATCAATGCGTTTTTGAACGTTAACATTCGGTGTAATTAAACAGATATAGCATGTTCTTGAGGGGTATTTGCGAAAAATACCAGTCTTGAGAATAAATTTCCCTCGCCTTACGGCTCGCGAAATTTAACATTCTCTCGACTGGTACTTTTCGCAAATACCCCTCCTTAACATGATATATCTGTTCAACAATCAAAAAAAAGTAACCAAAAAGACACCTAGGGAGAAAAACTTAGTCCCTAGTTTATAATAGCTTTCAGAAGCAAACAAAGATCTGATATCAATACAAAATACTTCAAATAAAGAAAAAAAAACCCAAAGATATGACATACGACTGCTACTGGCTAGGTTCCCAACTTCCACATCGGGCGTGTTTAACGACTATGTCTGACTATAAAGCCCAGGCACGGTAGGTAGCACTCGAGACACGCCAAGTGTACGTTTTTATTTTAACTGTGTATTTATAATTTTTGTTTTATTATATATTAAGTGTTTGTAATTGTCGAGTCTCTTTTTTATTCGTGATAACAGTCTTCTTAATTTGAATAGATGGAATATACTATATCTAAAAAATAAGCAGCAGTCAATTTTGGTACATGTGCTGCGTTTCTTTGGGTGGAAAGTATACGTGCATTACGTGTTTGTGACCTTTATACATCCGGGTTGATTTATTGATCTTAATTGTGAGAAGACATGAAATGCTTTGATAGGGATTTTTATATGATGACATAAACATTTCATGGTAAACTCACTAATATTATTTGTTTTATATATCTTCAAATCAATGCAGTAGCAAAATACTTTTATTTTGGAATTGCAGAGTAAACCAAAAGTACTTTCGAATTATGATAGACTTTCTAGATATAAACACCATGACATACATTTTTTAATGTTTGAGAATGGTTTGCATATTCAAAGGTATAATAAATAATTAAAGTATATCTACTACTGAGGTATATTATATACATTGTTCAGGTAAATAAAAAGAGACACTTTTCTCGATGGTTTATTGTGGTTTTATAATCTACAAAAATTCGAAATGAATATAATATTTATCAGTTTATCAACACATCCGTCCCTGATATATATGTACACACCGAAATAGGTTGTATCTCTAATTTTCAAAGTTGTTCTTGACATATAGTTATAATGGACATTTCTTCATGAATCTAAACTGTTTCAAGCTTGTTATTCATTACAAATTGTAAACTACTAATATATTATGTTTATGTCTATTTCACAGCCAAAGGTACTTCTTTATCTCTGAAAAATGCCTATATATACATGTTTACATTTAATTAAGTACCATGCAGTATGTTTTTTTAATTTTTTAGAGAAAAGCGCATATCCTCAACTTTTAGAATTGTCATGTAGCCTTCTGTCGTCAAATTGTGTGCAATTTGTTTAACTATTAGCTTACCTGCATGTTAGCGTTTGTCACCACTTGGCGTCCGTTGTCGTTCATCTATTGTCGTCCTTCGTCTGTCGTATTCATCCATCTAAGATTTTTAAAAATGCTCCTCCTCTTAAACGACTGAGCCAAATGTTACAAAATTTTATATCTGAATGTTCTTTATGGAATCTAGTTGGAAATAAAATGTAATCGGGGATTTGATCCATGACCAAACATGATTGAAGCTGCAAATAATTAAACATATTCGTAAAATGCAGTTGTTGTCTAATACATCAAAAACTAAATCAGTTATTTGAGAAAAACTGACAGGGTTCAAATGATCAAAAGGTCAAGGTCTATATCTTATTGAGTTTTCAGAAAAGTCGGACAACCAATTTTTTAACCCTTATTTGAGAACTTGCACTTGAAATATAATTTTTACCAATTTTTTGGCAGAAATTTTGATAGACAGAGAGAAACGGCAAATAGCAAAATGGTAAGCAAACAAGATCTACAAATAAGTCAACATGGCTGAAATCGCAATTGATTTCTTATAGGAGTTGTTGCCAATAAGAAGATTATTTTATACAACTTAGCAGAAACTATAATATAGAGAAACTGTAAATAACGACAATGTTAAAAAAAATAAGATCTACTAAGTCAACATAAATGAAGTCGTTAATTAATCCCTTACAAGAGTTACTGCCATCAAAGACGATTTTTACTATTTTTTGCAGACACCATAATAGATAGAGAAAAACTATGAATATAAAAAATGGTTAAAAAATAAATTCTATAAATAAGTCAAAATGACTGCAATTGTCAATTGACATCTTATAGGAATTATTGCCCTTGAAAGTTGGGTTTAACTAAAATATTTTTTTTGCATTTTTTTGCAGAACGGTTTTACCCATAATGAATAAAGAGGAATTGTAAAATAGCATAGATGTTAAACATAATAAGATCTACAAGTAACATGTGGAAGTCAATATGGCCAAAATTGTTAACTGACCCCTTATGGGAGCTACTTACCCTAAATAACCGTTTTACCTATTCAATAACGTTTTGGAAGAAACGCTTATAGGGAGCAACAGTACATGAATAAAATAAGATCTGAAAAAAAAAACCCAACTTCGTTGAAATTGCCAATTGACCCTTTTAAGGAGTAATTGGCCTTGCAAGTTTGGTGTTTTTTTTCCTGCAGAAACTATAACTATAGAAAGAAACAATAAGTAGAAAAAGTGTCAGCACAATAAGATCTACAAATACGTCAACACGGCTGAAACTGTCGACCGACTCCTAATTAGTGTTAATTCCATTGATTCCACTGAATGATGATTTTTAGTTTGGTTTTTTTGTGGAGGGTGGGGGACATTTAAAAAAAAGAAGGAGATTGAGGGAAATTTGAAGCAAAGGAAATCAGTGAAAAAAGATCTACAAGTTGGTAAACATGGCCAAATACCAGACTCCTGATATGAATGTTTGCCCATAAGGTAGTTCGGGAGTATAGAAGAAAAAAAATAACAGAATATACTTAAATATGTAGCATGGTTAATAAAAAAAAAACAAGAAAACTTGAGGTCACCGGCCATCCAAGAGTTTTTTCGACCTTTGAAAATGAGTGCTAAAAGGCTAATTTCTCAATGGATATATAGGGAATATGGACATAAAACCTCTTTGATCAAATTATATTCACAGCATAGAAAATGACATAAGTTGCTAATTTTTTCATACTGAAAAGCTCGATGTCTCTATTATATAAAATTGGAATAAAATATGGGGGTCACTGGCAATATAAGAAAGGTTATCAACTTTGTATGACTTGCTTGCCATCGAAACAGACTAAAAGTAACATTTTAAGAAAAAAAAGCAATTTTTATGAATGGAGAAGTTTGATATCAACATAATTCATAATTATCTTTCAAGTTTCCATGTCAATTTAATAAAAATTGGAAGGGTAATTGGGTACTATTCTCAGAAGCAAAAGTCGATTTTAGGGGTTTTTCATGGTAAAACACGGACTTAGCCATTACTCCATTACAAATGTCACCAACATGTCGCTTAACTTTCATTAGCATTAATTAAAACTTAAAAGGATTATTTCAAGTATCATTTGTACATATATACAAATAGCCTAAGAGTAAGGCTTTTCTTATTTACCAAACTGACTTTTGTGGTCTTTCATGGTGAAACAAGGACTTCACTATTTAGAGTACTCTCTCTCTCTATATATATATATATATCTCCTTTCTGAGATGCACCACCATGAGATACATGTATGGTGTAAATAAGACATTTAGAACACGGAACAAGCATAAACTAATGTGAGCATTTGCCTATCTAGTTCCTCAGTGAGGCTGTGATGGTTCTTACTACCACAAGGTGAACTACCTTCCAATTCTGTTTGTGTGGGAGGGGGGGACACTTTAATCCTTTTTGGTAGGGATAAACAACCGCAATATCCAGTACCATACCATTTTCATATATTTTGAATTAAAAAAAACATACCCTTTATTATATGTTTGCCTAGAAGTATAGCTTTCATGAATATGTTATTTCCTAGAGAGATACATATATTTGACATACAAGTATATCTGATCATGATGCATTCACACTGTGGTTTTATTCTTATCATTGAAAAAATGAAATTTGATTAGTTTCAGATACTAATAATATAATCAACAATGTAATCAAATATTTCTTCTAAACTTTTTGCCAAGTCCCTTATTATATATTGTCAAAACATATCTTATAAAGATTTCAGGAGTTTGCATGGTAAAGCATGACAAACCATTTTTGCATTTGTAATTTGTCATAATCAACATATCTCTTATACATGTTATATGTAGACTTCACTCATTTTTTAATTATTCATTTTAGTGTTTCCACCATTGATTACCATAATCTGTGGAGGGGGTCGCCAAACATTTCGTTTCTCTGTTGTGCACATTAACAAACCTAGCTTTGTCTTGCATGGATAGATGGTTAATGCATGTGGGTTTAAAAGTAGCTGCGGAACCGTAGTTCTTGGGTCATAAGAGCTACGGTTCCTCAGCTAGGTTGAAAATTACAAATATTGAAAAATAGTTATCATACCTCCAAAATGGAATGAGGGATTAAATAAAAGAATAGATTATTTTTAAACTTTGCACAGTTGATCCCTGCAGTATGTATATTGAAGACATATAGAATAAAAGTTTGAGGTTACCTGTTACCGGCCATTTAAGAATTTGTTTGAGCTCCAGAAAAAATCTTTTTCAACTTGTTTTGTAAAGATGTATAGGGACAATTACTCATTTTTCTCTACCAGTCATATTTTTAGTAAGAAATGAATGATTGACATTTCTCATGTATAGATATGAAGTACTAGAGTCTTTAAAAGTTTAAAATCCATTAACATAGAAACATGTGCATCAGTAATATCTCAGATGCTTAACTCTCTAAAAGAGTATACTAAAAGTATAGTTGTATTATGTGAATTTTTGTTTTACTTGTAAATATTTGCTGCCAAAATTGATTCAAAGATATATATATTTATACGTCTTCGTAACTACTTTTTCATATAGCTGGCTATTATCTAAAAAAAAACTTTAATAGATATGTATAAACTATAAACAATAAACAGTAAAATGATCATCAAAACATGATCTACAAAAATATCACAAAATAAGATTTACTAATAAGCAAACATAACTGATTGTATCTAAGGTAAAAATAGATATCAAAAGGGCATATTTTTACCGGGTGAGCGATTCAGGATCTTGTGAGCCTCTTATTTGAAGATTTTGTAGTAGGTCTTTAGAATTTCTTAGAATGTACATCTGATTGACACCGCTGGTAGAATATACAACAGCACAATATTTCTGAAGTTTATCTTTTTCTTCTATAGATTAAATTGCTTTTTTCATTGTTTTTTTCATTGTTTATTAGTTTAGTATTGTTGAAAATGTTTTTTTTTTGTTTTCATTGCTCGTTTTAACTTATTTTAATGTTTATTTTTTATATCTAAAGGGTTTCGTTACATTAATGATTTTATGCCCCCTCCTCTTTTATGTGCAGTAGAGTGACAGGTACGTAGATAGGTGATATCACGGATTTTTATAGAATTTTGCAAACTATTGGAGCCCGAAGAACTGCATTTGAATATCGAACTAACATATATGTATCAACTATTCTTTCAGAGTTTAATGAAATTGAATATTCCCTAGAAGGAAGCACAAATGTATAGAATAGACGTAAATTCTCTTCTCAAAAACTATCGTTAATAACTATATATATTATTGCCACTGAATTTTATTGATATAAAATTTGCAGATCATCGAATTAGTTTTTGCTGTTTGAATTATTCAAGAGTATTGAAAACTATTAGAAGTTTAAGGAAAAAATAGTATTACATTTACCGGGCTTTAGGTTGGCCTTTCGTGTATCCAAGGTAGATGAAGGGAAGTCAACTTACGAGCGCTGTGATTGAATGTAAGGGTATAATATATATTTTTTCATTGATCTATGAATAAGTACAGTGTGTATATTGACAATATAAATTTTGAAACCCATCGAAATATTTTCTTGAGAATTACTCGAAAATTTCATGAACTTGATGTAAAATGACGGTGGGCATGGATACCATAAACAAGCTCCTTTCGAAGATGGTCATGATACTATTTGACTTTAATTTCTTAAACAGAATACTAAAGTACTAATACCACACATAACTGTTTTGTCCAGGTTTTTCTATTATAAAAGGTGGTAAATTTAGAAAATGTTAGTATTGTCGCCTATGGAAAAATAAATACTACCGTTTTCCTCAGTTGATGTTTCTGTATGAAATCCGATAAGGACATCCACCATTGTTGGAGTCTAGAGCGACATGACTTCATATCAATCTTTGATATGATACAATATTATTTGGTATAGTTTTATTTGTAATTGTATTTTGTTGTATAAAATACAATTATTTAAGGTTATGTGCGTTTATTCATTTATGTTCAATTTGTTAATTCACTGATCGAGACTGGAAGGATTTAGGTCTTTAAAAAAACTTAGTATAACCCACCACATAGTCACGAGCTTGTAATTCCGTCAGAGGTTGTCCAAATGTAATATTTTTATTTGGAGAATTTGGTGGTGATGGCAAATCTTTGATATTTTGTTTGATTTGTTTATAAATGTTTGAATTTGTATAGACATCTGTTGAAGATCATTTGTTGACATCTAGCTGTCTTATGTTTATTTGTTTCTTTTGATTGCTGCCACATTGGCGTAATCCCGTTTCTCATTTCAGTCACCTTTATAGTTACAGATTTTTTTAAAGAAATATAATACAATAAGTTAATAAGCTTCGCAGTTAATTAATGATTTAATACTTCAAAATTTCATCGAATTAAAACCAAGAGATCTAGAAAAGGCAGTTGTTAGGCTCTTCTGAAGACTGAAAAGAAAAAGAAAACAAAATGAAAAGTATATTAAAAGTTGATATTTTAGGTTTTAGCTCGTTGATAAGTTCCACAAATGTACAACAAAACTTGATATCTTAGGTTTTAGCCAGTTGATAAACTCAACAAATGTACAAGAAAACTAGAAGAAGAAATAAGATAGCACAAAGCCAATAAATTATTTAATATTTAATTTATTGACACCATCAACTATTTTTTTTGTATAACATAGGCGAAAAACAACGTTGCATCGTGACATCATTTGTTCACCCCTCATTCTACGTAAGGTTGCTAGCACGAACTTCCATTCAGTACTGGTATTAAGGGAGCTACTATTTGATTTTTATGGGGGCTGGGGCTAGGATGAAATATGAAAAAAGACAGGACAGGAGTTTTGAGTAAAAAGAAAAAAGGCAGGATGAGCAACTTTACAAAAAAAGGCAGGATGACAGTTTCTGTAAAAAAAGTCAGGATAAACTAATAAAAAAGGCAGGACGGAATAGATTCAAAAATAAGAAGGCAGGACAGAGATTACAACTAAATAAAAATGCAAGACAAATTTTTGTTTATCCTAGCCCCAATACAAATAAAATGGAAACTCCCTAATGGTATATCTTTTGGCTAGTCTAACATCGTCTTTGAGTTAGATTTTTGGTTGAAAGTAAATTTTGAAATTATTGAACGTTTAAGATTAATATGTAATGCTTATGTTTCAGAAAGATATTCGTGTGCTTTGACAAGTGTGAATAGAACATGTACTTTGCAAAATATTTTCAGTATTTTGAGAAAACGAATTTATTTGATTGTGTAATTTCATTCAACTACAAGGAGTAGTATATGACATTTGGAACTTCTTTCTTAGTGCATGTGCGAACCTGTTTCATTTTCTTTTCCCATATTTTGCATAATCAGGTTTAGGCTTAGGCTTAGGATTAGGCTTAGGCTTAGGCTTAAAACGAGAACCGCTAATTCTTCCTCCTCCACCACCACCGCCGCCTTTCTCCTCACTATCACTATCACAATTATTACCACACCATGTAGCGCCTGCAGATGTCATTTGTAGTATGGCAGTCAAAAGGAGAAAAAGAAAGATCAATTTCTTCATTTTGAGACCTGTTAATATAAATAAAAATGTAACACTTTGGATAAATATAGATAACATAAGATAATTTACTCATAAAATATCTAACTCTAACTGCTGTTGTAACTACAATAGTTCATCTGTGGACTAACCGTCATCTTAAAAGATTTTTTGACTTTGATTGTTGTTATTTGTTCAACTGTTCAAATACCTTACTAGTCAACACTCTATAGCCATTTACCATGTTAACATTTTATAAAAGAAGTACAATAGCTTAAGTTTCACTAAATTACACCATGGTTATAAAATTTAAAGGTCGTTCTACAGATGAAACCAAACATTTGCATTTTCTAAGTTATCTTACAAACATGTAAACCGAAACGTTTATTGTCTGGCTATTAATATTTAGATGGAAAATGATGTTTCAAAAATGTCAATCTCTGCTATATAAAGATAACATAAAAGCTACAGAAAAATTGATACACACATATAATATTGACTTCTTTACATACATCATTTTGCCAAGTGGAACTGATGCCCGGACTTTTTCCCAAAAACAATCCTTTACAACACCCTGTCACGGGACTTTCGATATGAAAATATTGTCCGTGTTATTGTAACGGTTTCTGTCGAGATTAAGAAAATAAATAGATTGTTGCATGTATAGTTACAATGGCATTAATTAAGTCTTTCCACTTTTCCGAGGAAAGACCTATTGCTTTTTTTCTAATTATTATTAGGTCTTTCCACTTTTCCGTGTAAAGACCTATTACTTTTGTTCTGATTATTAGGTCTTTCCACTTTTCTGTGGAAAGACCTATTGGTTTTGTTCTAATTATTAGGTCTTTCCACTTTTCCGTGGAAAGACCTATTGCTTTTGTTCTGATTATTTTTTTTTCCGCAACATTTCGTTCTTGCGGTGTATAGTGGTTTCGAAAGATGTCGCTTAGATTTTTTACATATGATATCGAACAATTATTGCGCTTTTGAGACTGACCCTGTTTAACTGAACATTTTTTTTGTAAGAGTAAAAAGTAACCTATCAGATGATACCGGATATGATTTTTTTAAACCGATAGTGGCAAGTTATCTCCCGTATTTCCAGTAAAAGTATAAAGAAACCATACTTTTTTGGAATCTGTGTGACAAAAGCTATCACATGAGACCGGAAGTGATATTTTATAAACCGGAAGTAGAAAATTATCTCCCTCGTTTCAGACAAAATCATATAGAATCCATATATTTTTGAATCAGTATGAAGAAATCTGTAAGTAGATACCAATAGTTACTTTGCGTAAACCACAGATAGCTTCTTATAAATTATTTAGATATTTAATGTGGAAAGACCTTCAATTGTTCTCTGAATAATTGGTTTTTAACTAATGTTTATGTTCGTAAATAATCATTTGAAATTGCCTCATTGTCCTAATTTCTAATTACACAGTCGATTTTGTTAGTATCCTTTCCCGAACTTTTCTGGTTAAGCATCGTAAATAATGATTTTTCTTACCTTTAAATCTGGTTCTAGGGAACAATTTGATAAAATGATAATTGCATCTAAGCTTTTATAAGGTTCATCTAAGTCATTAATCAAAGCAGGTAAATTTATATTTTTCACAGTGTTAAGAAACAAATGAGTTAACCTTGTTACATTAAATATGCGTGCATAGTTCAACGTCGTGTCGAGGAAAAGAACAACTATATCATGTATGTGTCACAAAAGAGAAAGTGTTTTACCTTTTTATGTCCTTGGAACGTATTTATGGATATTATGCCATTTGTTTTTTTTTAATTACATTTTGTTATTTTCTAAACCTAAGGACGTTTATTTTCTTATTTATTTTTGAAACAAATGAGATAACCTTGTTACACTAAAATATGCATGCATGGTTCAACGTGGTGTTCGGGAAAAGCACAATGCACAAAAGTACTAAACTGTTAGGTAACTACATGTATATTTACAAAAGAAAACGTGTTTTACCTTTTATGTCCTTGGGATGACTTAAATGATATTATGCAGTGCTTTTTTCTGACTTTTATTCGGTTATTTTCTAAACTTTCTTTACGATTTTGTCTCATAAACATCAAATGTGCCATCTTTTTACATGTTCTTAATAAAAGAAAAAATATATTTTGGTAATAACACAACTTATGTTATCACCCTGGTTTTAGGTGAGGTTCGTGTTGCTCAGTTTTAGTTTTCTATGTTGTGTTTTGTAAACTGTTTGCTTTTTGTTTTTTTTCTGTTTTTTTTTTGCCATGGCTTTGTCAGTTTATTTTCGACTTATGAGTTTAATTGTCCCTTTGGTATATTTCGCCTCTCTTTTATGCTATTCTGTACTGGTCTCAAGGTTGATGAATTTTATTCAAACTTAGATATTTATATATTAGAATGTAGAGATTTTTTTTTCTTCCACATCAAAGAATGAAGGTTTCAGTGGCTCTAAGCTTTGCACGCTTTTGGCTTAAATGCTTTTTGTTCACCTAGTTGTGATGATCTAATAGGCAAGAGTACTTATGCTTTTTCTCATCTTATATTGTAATAAAAAAAAAACTCTGAATGTGTTTTCTTTTTTGTGCCTTTATCAATCCACTGATAGAAAAAAAATTTGATTACTCTTAAAATTAATACTTTTGATTTTTTGTCTTCCTCTTCTTGCAAACTTGTCTCAAAATTCTTATTTCCTACTTCAATAAAAATTGTGTACTACCACTGAACTATTTAGAGATTTAATATTCTCATTGTGAACTTCTCATTTTATGTAGAAACATTTCAGTAGTGCCTATAAATAGCCCATTTAATTTGGTATCCATGGACTTGTGTTTTCTATCATGAAACAGGGTTACCACTCACAAGGAAACTATCTAATCAAAGCTTCTTATTGGTAAAGTTGAAGTCATTTATGTAAAGTTTATGGCGTCACCAATCGTTATACACTACAACAGGCACTTCAGTCAAAACCATAAGTAGAAGAAACAAAACAACAGCGTGACTCACAGAAAATATACCAACAGACAACTAGTTCTTGTATCACAAATTGCACTCATCATGTTGATCAAGTATCAAGTCAGTGTTAAATCGCATTTAGTAAGACAAATAATTTGCCATAACGAACGAAAATATCGTTAAGCAAAAAGAAAACAACATTTAAAGCCTTAATTGAGTCTGTGCATGTCCATGAATAAGAATAATACTTTTCTTAATAACTAAAGAAAAGTCGTGTATTAATACAACAACGGTATTCAAGAACTGATTTTTCAAAATACCGTGTCAATTAGTTTACCAAGTTAATTCTTTAAACAGATTATAGTTATATTGGAGTGTTGTGTATTAGGTGGGAAAATCTGAGTCAACTAAATGACCGATAGAATGAAGACGTCATCACAATTGGTTACACAAAAAAAAAAATAACACCTGTGTTTGACGGTCTTTGCTGCATATTGTATAACAAGGTTTTAAAAGTAGCAAGTGCACAAGTCAGAATGACAGATAATGTAATGTAGGAAACCATTACAAACGAAGGGACACAGTGATTTTGACTTGACGTTTGAAGAAGTTTTGGTTTAAAAACTCTATTTAGTTCTTTTCATAAATAAGCCAACACAAACATTTTTAAATTTAGATTTTTTTTTTACGTATTAGGGACGACATCAAAAGATCAATGTCGGATAAAAAACTTAAATCAAATAGTTTGGGGGTGGGGGTTAAAATTGCTGCAAGTTTTGTTTATCCAAAATCGATTTTACATATAACCATATTGGTCAATCAACTTTTCTCAAATTAAGTTGAGAAGGGGGTGGGGGGACAACGAAAAAACTATGTGAATTAAGTTTTTATCCTACATTGAACTTTTGATGTCGTCCCTAAGATGTCGATATAATACTTATTTACGTCAAACCATTTTGTGTGGTCAAACACCGTTGTTTGCTGCCTTATTAGATCTTTAAAACATGTTAATTGTTTAGTCTATTAGTTTATATCTTATGGTAGGTACAAAGAGTTTCTGATTTTCAGTCTCTACATAGTTATGTTAAGGTTAAAAAATGCATTCTTACTATATTAAATAGATTATCTAAGATCTGATATTATTTTTGAAAAAGGAGCAATACTGTAATGAAAATAGGCAACTTACCAACAAAGTTTTTGAAATATAGTAAATGCATGTGATAAAAGTATTAATGTTCATAGTAATTAAACTTTTTTCTATCAGTGGATTGATATAGGCACAAAAAAGAAAACATATTCAGAATTGTTTTTATTGAATTATATAAGTTAAAAAGACAAGTATTTCTGCCGATTAAATCATCACAACTAGGTGATCAAAATTCATTCAAGCCAAAAGCATGCAAAGCTTGAAACCACTGAAACCTTCATCCTTTAATGTGGAAGAAAACACTTCTCTACATTCTAATATATAAATATCTAAGTTTGAATAAAATTGAGAAACCTTGAGAACAATACAGAATAGCATAAAAGAGAGGCGAAAGTTAACAAAGGGACAATAAAACTCACAAGTCGAAAATAATTTAGAAAAAAGTCGTTGGACAATGCATGCATACTTAGTGTAACAAGGTTAACTCATTTGTTTCTTAACACTTTGAAACATATAAATTTACCTGCTTTGATTAATGACTCAGATGAATCTTATAAAATCATAGGTGCAATTATTATTATATCAATTTGTTCCCTAGAACCAGATTTTAAGGCACGAAAAATCATCATACACGATGTTAAACCAGAAAATTCCGGAAAAGATACTAATAAAATCGACTATGTAATTAGAAATCAGGACAGTGAAGCAATTTCAAAAGAATATTTACGAACACATACATTAATTAATGCCATTGTAACCATACATGCAACCAAACTCCCCGGCAGTTCCAGCTCCTATCCGCATACTCTACACTAATCACTGCCTTCGAGTTTTTTCTTAACCCGATCTTCAAGCTGTGTGACCCAGATTGACTTTTCGTTGCTACTGAAGCAAATATGGCTGAACATTGATGAATGAGGATATTTTTTACCAACTTTACCAGTTTATATGTACAAAAACAATTATTGTTATTAAAAAGCACCCAATCCAAATAATATCACAAAATGAAATGTTTTTGAATTTTCTGTATATCCCAATTCTGGCTTAAACTCAATCGACTTTACAAAAAATTTCGTCACTGGAGAAACATAATATCATATTAGTTTGACGTCTGCGCGTATGTGCAATTGAAAGAATAATTATTGCATTAGGGACGACATCAAACGATCAATGTAGGATAAAAAAACTTAAATCAAATAGTTTGGGGTGGGTGGAAAGGGGGGGGGGGGGGGGGGGGGGGGTTAAAATTGCTGCAAGTTTTGTTTATCCAAAAACGATTTTACATATACCCATATTGGTCAATCAATTTTTGCTCAAATTAAGTTAAGAGGAGGGGGGGGGGGGGGGGACAAAGAAAAAACTATGTGAATTAAGTTTTTTTATCCTACATTGAACTTTTGATGTCGTCCCTTAGCTGTTGATAACAATTATTCCGTTTATTGTACTGACACCCCAAATCATCAGCAAATAAAACTCGTTTGCAGACCACTCACAGTCTTCACGATTGACCCCAGGCTCGACGTCAAAAGGGGTTCTTCAACGTACGAATAATATGAGATATATGTATAGATAAAAATGTTGTTTTCCCGAGAAGCGGCTCCATATGGAATTAAAAAATATTTCATAACAGACAAAACTGCACTCCAGGGATAAATTTTGGATTTCATTTTAAAGGGAGGGGGTCAAAATAGTTTTAAATTGACACAAGGCTACAAGCAGGTTATTTTATCCAACTTGAGTAAGGGTTTCCAATATCATTAAGACTCAAAACACACTTCAGGTATAATTTCATGGATTAAACATACAAAAAACTCATTATTATAACTTGAAAAATAAATATCAAGGATTTGTATAGTAACTTACTATACAAATCCTTGTAAACATATTGTATAATTCATTGTGAAAACAAATACAACACACGTACTAAACATGAGTCTCTCTATATAATATAGCAGTGATCGCCATGGAGAAGAAACTTGGAACTTACACATAATTTCAAAAGTACTCGGGGACAGGACAATTACTTTCACGTTTATCTGCATGTATACTATGATTTTACTATTATAATATATAAAGTCTCTCTATATAATATAGCAGTGATCGCCGTGGAGAAGAAACTTGGAATTGATAGGTAATAGCAAATACACTTTATTTATAATATACATATGTTCATAGTATACAGAAACGCGAACTGAATAATGGAATTTAACAGAAAAAAAACGGACATTGGAAAAAAGGGTGAGGGCTTAAAAAAATTGTCCTGTCTCCAAGTACCTATGACTTTTGATACCTTTTCTGAAATTCTCCAGACATAAAATATTTTACAAAAAATCATCCTACAACAGTTTAGTACATACTTTCAACTTAGCTATAAATGCCCGCGATTTCGCGGGTGTGTTCTAGTGTATATAGATACAAATGAATATCTTTTTTATCCTTAAAAATCTTTTTCCTAAAATTTAAAGTTTCTACTCAAATTATTAATTTAGATTATTCATTAAAGTTTTCTTGTTTACCTCATTTGAGTCAAATTTTAAAGTAACTTAAAAACTTCCATTTTTTTTTAAAACAGATGAGTAATGATAGAATTTTGCTTTTAATAAGTATATTGGACTCCATTCTTGTATGTTTTGACTGTTATATTTAAATTTGGTGAAAGTGTTCAGTTTAAACAATATCCATCTGAAAAGATTTTAACATATAAGTGTCACGGTTTAAAATATAAATTGCCTTTCGCATTTTAATCAAGGGACATTTTTGTACTTCAAAATTAGTTAAGTGAAAGGAAATATCCTAAGGCTAAGATTATTGTTAATCATGTTCATTGCTAGAACAACATATTTACAAATTATATGTCAGTCATGTCAATAAATTGTTCTTGTCTTTATTTTTCAGATTTTTTTAAGTATGCATGTGAAAAAATAAATTGATGAACTAAATACAAATAAAGATTACATTATACAATATAATGATTAAAAAAAGTATGAATGAATGTAAAATATCTTTTTTCAAAACATTAAAATGTTTATAAAGTATATAAAAAAGTACCAAGTGCATACTAAATGAAGGAAAAAATTAGAGTTTACAATTGCATGATGTGTAAAAACATCAGAAAAATTCAAAAATGTTTAAAATGTCCCAGCAAATATCTAAATGTAATTGAAAGTAAGTGAAATGTAATTCATAATTACATGGCAAAAAGGCAATGTAATTAATTACTTTCAATCACATGTAATTGAAATTATGCTCAATTACACATTACATTGAAGTACTTTCAAATTTGTAATCAATTACAGCTAATTACATTTACATTTTTTAATTACCCCAGGTCTGGTAGCTATAAAGGTGACTGAAATGAGAAATGGGATTACGCCAATGAGACAGCAATCAAAAGAAACAAATACACATAAGACAGCTAGAGGTCAATATATGATATTCAACGGATGTCTATACAAATTCAAACATTTATAAATAAATCAAACAAAATATCAATGATTTGCCATCAATACCAAATTCTCCAAATAAAAATATTACATTTGGACAACCATTGACGGAATTACAAGCTCATGAATATGTGTTGGGTTATAACTAAGTTTTATTTTAAGATCTAAACCCCTCCTGTCTCAGTCAGTGAATCAACAAATTTAATATAAATAAATAAACGCACATAATCCTTAAATAATGGTATATTATTATGATAGATTGATTGATTTGTTGGTTGGTTGGTTGACTGATTAAACACATTGGACCGGGCCTCTAGGAGCAAGCGAAAAACATACCGACATAGGGAGATCCCTCATCCCCTATTAAACACATGGAACCGACACCTGCATGATTGATTGATTGATTGATTGGTTGGTTAGTTGGTTGATTGATTGATTGAGTAAAAGTTTTATGGCATTCTCTCTGTGCGAGGCATTGGACTTAACGTCCATTTTCTGACCGAATGTGCCTGCGTAGTTATCTATCCAACGTGCACACAGCTAAATGGTTGGATGTCCTATTAAAAATGTATCTTAGCATCCTCCTTTAATTAATTTTCCCTATTTTTATACGCGTCTACGGACTTCACGTTTTATTTGTTTGTTGTGTGTGCATTTTGTTTGAATTTGTTTGAAAACTGTGTAACATTTTGTCTGGGAAGTTTCACTTTCTTTATTTGGATGAGGAATGTTTTTATTCTAAATTTTAGTCACGTGATGCTCGAATATATATTCTGGAGTAAGGGGAGACCGCTAAATAAACCACATGTGTATTGATAAAAGTAACACGATAACTAGTATTGATTTTATTTTTTACAGGTAATTGGTGTCTGATCATGCATGCATTTTTGTACACATATTTACGTGAGCACAGATTTGTATTTAAATGCATGTTTAGAAATTTGATTGTAGGTTTTCACAAATATTTACGAACTTGGGAGCGATTTCTTTTTTCATTGATTTTAATTTCTCAATCCAGGTCAGGTGGACCGCACATGTATTTATAGTGCTAACAGGAATATAATTTCTTGATTCATTTTACAGGTAAACTATTGTCTAATCGCTGATCACGAGTTTCCATACATTGCATGCACACAAAAAATAATGCTGTTGTTATAGTACTTGAACAAAACTTTTATCGATATTTCAGAAAATACATGAATTGGAGCAGATTTTTGCAGGGGATGGATTTCTATTTCAGAAGTTAGTGCATTTTCACAGTAAAATGTACGGGACTGAAGGCGATTTTCATTTCATAGAAAAGAGGGGTTATCAGTGGTGGACCTTGGTTGATTGATTAGGATAACATGCATGTATACATCATGATAGTTGCAAAGTTTGAAGCTATAATTAGATAATTTTTTTTTCATTTTAGCATTTCTGTGCCATTGAACACTTGAACCCCCAAGAAAATGACGCGTACCATTTCGACAAAAATTTTCCAGTTATAAGTTGTTAACATTTTGGTTACATTTTTTGTCGATATCTATAGCTCGTTCTGACATTGTCTGAGTAAAAGTGACATGAAGTAAATGTCAAAATTTAGAACATGACCTTGACTTTTGACCTTTGACCTTGACCTCATTTTCTATGTTAGGAGTAAAAGATCTCAATTAAAAAGAGTCTCGGTTTATACCGCCTACGGTTTATGAATTACAAAAACATAACGACAAATTTTATTGGTAAATGTAGACAAATCCTAGAAGATGTCACTGGATCGCTTCGATCAAGATCAGCCAAAAATTCCTGAGAATGTAATGAACAAATAGGGAAAAAAAATTGTCGTTATCTTTCTTGGTTACGGAGAGGATACACTAACAAGAAAACAGTGTTTGGGGAGACAATGCTAAAAATAAAAAGTCTTCGACTAAACAGACTCAATTTTAAAAGCGCAATAACTGTTCGATAGCATATGCAAAAATATATAAGCGACATCTTGCGAAACCGGGAGCATGTCATAAACACTGTACGAACAATAAACAAAAGAAAAAAGGACACACTTAAAGGCATATATATTACTCCACAATTTCCAGACGATATGCGTTAAAACAGAAAAAGGCTGATACAAAAACAAAAGGAGTATGATATAGATGTAGACACAAAAAAATAAAAGGAAACAGTCTATTATTCAGTAAAAGTGGAACTAAATATATGGAAAAAGTGTCAACACCAAAAGCAAATTAAATGTTTGATGCTACTAGTTTGGTCTATTTGAACAAACTAGTACCAATAAAGTTAACGACAATTGTCACACTTATTGTGTCACAGCTGCTATCACCACAACATATCCAGAAGTTCGTGAAGCTGTCCGACAAATAATGCAGGGCCCAGTATCAGCATGCACATACAACACATTGGTTTATAGATTTACGGACAAAGACGGACATACACACGATGGGTACGATGACGGCAGAGACTACGGAATTGGATCAAGAATACTTGACTATCTAGAAGAAATAGATGCATCCGTAATTGCTATTATCTCCTCACGTACACCGCCACCAGTTACAGCAAAGATAGGTTCAAGAAATACACAATATTATCTTGGAGGGAGTAATGTCGGTTCTCCGCAAAAAGTAGAAAACAGAATTTTATACCAATAAACTGTTGTCTGAACTTATTTTGTTAGCAAAGTTAGGTAATACACATGTAGTAAAGCATGCTGAATGCCATTTTTTCATGTTTATAATTTGTAAGACATTGTATATTTAATTTCGTGTATTCTCTTATCAACATGTTCAAAGTCTATTAACTATTTTCAAAGTATCTAGAGTTTAAATTTTATTTATTAATTTCACTACTATCTATCAAGTGTTAGCGAATTTATAAATCCCCAAACTTCAAATGAAAATTATTTCGGTCATTTGTAGATAAAACTACAGTACAACCTGTGACATTCTCTTAATTATGTCCACCCTCTTGTATGGTCAACATCAAATGGTGACCATTTATTGGGGTATTAAATCTTGAGATGTTGGACTTTTATTGGGTTCATAAAACAATAGGTTGGTGTTTAATCTTATTATGTTATCTGTTGAAATCAATCAGGGTTGAAATTTTCAGCTTGTATGTTTCCTTAAAAATTTACCTGTACAGGTAACTCGTGTTTCTTTTAAAAATGACATTTTAACCTATTGTTGAAATTGTAAAATAAAATGTTTTAGTCTTTGTTAATTTTTATTATTTGTCGATTTTTCTGTCTTTCAATTTTGTCTTTTTCTTTTTTTTTAATGTTTTGATTTTGTTTATTTTGATTTGTTTTATTTTGTATTTTTGATTTGTTTTTATTAATTTTTGCATGTTTCTTTTTTTGTTTTTTTTTTAATTTCTTCTTGGTAAGAATCTTGTTGATGTTGCAGCGGTTGAGAAATATGTGTACACTTATGTGGATATAAATAATTTCATTTTTTCAGTATATGCATGTTTATTTTTAAGTACATGTATAAATAGGATGTTGTCATTTTTTATTTTAGTATTCTATAGTTTTATTGGTGTGTTATCAGATAATAAAATTCTAATTACATTTATTACACTTGCCATCAAAGTTTTTCTAAGCATATCATGGATAATAAATGTAACATTTAAAATTATTTTCAGAAGCAACAGCAATGTCTGAAACAGTTTCATAAAAAAAGAAAATGATGTTTGAAATAATTGAATGATTATTCAACGTTGTCATAATTAGTTGTCACATTTACAATACAATAATTTTCATTCAAGTTAAAGTGTTTTAACACAAAGATGCAATTGTCAAATCAAAATTAAACTAAAACATGATCTTCTTTAGTTGTTTAACTGGACGTCTGAGGGCTTGGTTAATATTTGTCACTACCATGAGTTTCCAAGCTTGTTGTTGCTTTACCTCAGGGTAGAAGTGGCAGACATACTGCATGAGGAACTGAACATGAACCGGGTCCAAAGGATTTTTGTTGTTCTTGAAGTCACCATGGTAGGAAAAGTAGCGTCTCAGACAATCTTGTAAATAAAGTTCTGGGAAAATAATTTCCAAAAAATGTTTTGCAAAATTACCCGTTCCTGTAGATGAATTGAACCCCCGAACAAGGTCATATGCTGATATTTGGTACTGTGATGGTATGTGTTGAAATTTACTGTCTATTATATTGTACATACTAGTTGACGGCACTAATCTAATTGATGATGTTGGAAGTCTGCTAACGGTAGGTGATGGTATAAGAGTTAATGCTGCAGGTGTGTTGGTTGGTGACGGAGAAAATAATGATGTTGGGATAAGTTATCTTGGCTGTCTTGTTGGGGTAGCTGTCATGTTGCCCCATGGTCTATGTGGAGTAAAACTCTGAGTTGGTGTTGTAGTTGGCTTATCTACTAGGCTCTGTACAATTTGAACGAGTCTTTCATTTTGTTGCTGGAGTTTGTTCATGGCAACATCTTGAGCTAGTGATCTCTCGTTAAGGACTTGCTCCTGGGACTTCAGGTCTGTTATGGCTAAGAGTACGCTGTTACCAGGTAGCTGTTTGTCAAATTGAAATAGAACTATTGGTGATTGTGGATTTGATGGTGTTGGGGATGATGGCGTAGGTGGTTGTAGTTCAATAGACAGAACTGGTGATGGTGTTGCTGATCTAAACTTATAAGGGTTATCTATAGCAGCAATGTCACGTATTCCCTCACACCAAGGTATACATTTGGCATATGGCTTTAATTTTGGCACTGTAACTCTTTTTCTTTAAGGAGGGGGTAGTACATTTGGTTATGAATCTTCACTTGATTTGGCTGGTGAAGATAGTGAAGATTCTTGGGAAGCATCTTTTGGCAAAGCATTTTTGTATATCTTAAGTCGCTAGTAAAGGGTCAGTTTTGTCAAAAACTACTGTCCAAAGGTTAATTTACGAAGCCGGGTACAACGCCAGTGCGCCGCGTTATTGTCAGATGATTCTCGAGGCAAATAAAGCGAAACGGGTCACTTTCTGTTGATAACATACAATGACAATTTTGCAGACATCAACTTTACAGATGAATGCACCGTCCAGCTACATGATAATTAAGGAGTAATTTACCGCCTGAGAGACCAAGTCGCACAACCAATTCCGCAACCTAAGCATGCATTCAAACTTCATGTTTGGGGAGGTATAAGTCGCAGAAGAACAACTCGTCTTTTAATTTTTGACGACATACTACGATCAAATTTTTTTTTGTAGATAAAATTCTTCGACAAACACTTTTACCGTTTATTCAAGACGTGTACCATGACAAACACCGTTTCCAACAAGACAATGATTCAAAACATCGTTCGATATTGTCAGAAAAGCCACAACATCAACTGGTTGGAATGTTGGCCGTCAGATTATCCAGATTTAAACCCGATTGAAATGGTTTGGAATATGCTAAAACGAAGACTAGCCAAAAAAAGACTAAAAGACAAAGGAAGACTTGGAAACTGCGCTAGAGGATTTTTTACCACATACCTAACCGTGAAATGTTGCAACCGTTTTATTGATAATCTTTATAAAGTGGTTCCAACAGTTATGGTTGTCTGTGTCACTGCAGACCTTCCACGAAAGATATTCCCAGAGAGGTCTTGTGGAAAATCCATTGACTACTTCAACTCAAAGCTGAAAGAACCGCTACTTCGTCAAAAGATTGCCAACCCCTACTGAACTCAGATTACAGATAACAAGACACTTGTACCATATACAACAGCCTTTTTAAAGGCTACACAAATTATACGAAAAGAGTTTTTTTTTTATTGTTGTTCATTAGATATACAATTCTTAATTTCAGCTTTGCCCATTTCCTAATATTTCCCTGATAAAATGCTTAACCCATTTGAAATACATTCTTACTTTAGTCATGTCAGAGACTGTAATACAAGAGATTTGCAACTCTAGTAGAGTCTATGTAACAGCCAATGAAATGCCTCGGCCACCACTGCAGACCTTCCACGAAAGATATTCCCAGAGAGGTCTTGTGGAAAATCCATTGACTACTTCAATTCAAAGCTGAAAGAACCGCTACTTCGTCAAACGATTGCTAACCCCCTACTGAACTCAGATGACAGATAACAAGACACTTGTATTATATACAACATCCTTTTTAAAGGCTACACAAATTTTACGAAAAGAGTTTTTTTTTATTGTTGTTCATTAGATATACAATTCTTAATTTCAGCTTTGCCCATTTCCCAATATTTTCCTGATAAAATTCTTAACCCATTTGAAACACATTCTTACTTTAGTCATGTCAGAGACATATAAAACAAGAGATTCGCAACTCTAGTAGAGTCTATGTAACAGCCAAGATCTCCCAATTTGTTTTCGTAAAACTTGGAAATATGCGAATAAATATATAATTTTATGGAGCATTAATACTCCAAATGTTATGTCGTGAAAATAAGACTATTTTCGTAGAATTTGACCCCATAGTTTTTTTTTCAAAATTATCAACAAAAGTGACGATTATTTTCTTATTGATACCCAAAGCCAGCTGTGCTGGTACTACCATTCTATTTCGTAAAACTTTGAAATGTACAATTAAATATATAATTGGATGGGACTATATTACTCCCAGATGTTATGTCGTTAAAATAAGACCAGTGTCGTAAAATTTGATTTAATCTTTATTTCTAAAAAAAACAACAAAGGTGACAATTATTTTTTTATTGATACACAAAGCCAGCTATGCTAGTTCTACCAATATGTTTCGTAAAAATTAATCATTTACAAATAAATATGTCATATTATGGGGATATATTACTTCCAAGAGCTATGCCGTGAAAAAAGATCCATTTCGTGAGATTTGATCCTATAGTTATTTCTAAAAAATATTTAATACTAACAAAGATGACTATTATATTCATGTCTCTACCCAAAGCCAGCTATGCTGGTCCCCTACTAATATTCTTAAAACAAAAAACTCTTGACACATGTCAGGGGTGTAAAATTTTCATTGTTCATTTCAAAGTGGAAGTGTAATGTAAACAAATAAGGTATTTTCTTTTCTTTTGTTGTATATAAAACTGGCTAAATATTGAAATTGTTCATGGACAAATTTTTTCGAACCAGTCCTTCATTTTTGTGCACTATGAGATTTATAGCCTGCATTTTGTTGAACAAATTGTCCATTTTTCATTCTGTTTAGGGAAAAGTTGTTTATTTTCTCCTCTTCAGAAGTCATTTTTTTTCTTTTCCTTTTTAGGATGCCAAAGGTGAACGAAGGCAGTAGTTTACAAAAGGAGTAAAATTTTCATAGAAAAAGAAACCTTCTAAACTGGTCATAATATTATGAATAAGCTTCATGCATCTGTTGTAGTTTCAGACTACGCTTCTCAGTCAAAACATGAACCATATTCATATGAAGACAAATATTTGCTGAAAGTAAATCGTAGTGTGGACATTTCTATGGTGACTGCAAAAGAAATTAAATTTGTGTCCGTTAACTTACTCTTCCAGTCTACACATACATGTTTATATATATATGTGATAATAAAAGATTTTATTTACACCAAGGATTTGTATATGTACACATAAAATATTCTTATTTTTTAAAGAATGTAGGACAGAAAATCACAGGACAAAAAGTCACAGACAAAAAGTCACGGACAAAAAGTCACTGGACAAAAAGTCACAATTCAGTTTTGAGATTATTTTTCTTTGAACAAGAAAACACTAATTTAGAAAAAAATATTTTTGTATTTTTCTTAAACTTTATATATAATCTACTTTGTAAACAAAATTTATTAAAAAAATATTAGCAATAATGATCATATAATTGTTAAGAAAACAAAATGTCAAAGTGGCTTGGTACTTAAACGGCTTCTTGGTGCCATGAAATATATCATTTGCATGATTAAAATTTAATAAATCTTCATTTATCTAGTCTAGTGAACTATTTCTTAAACTGTTAAATGAATATATGTAATAAAAAGTAGATATTTCCAGATCTTTCTCTTAAATATTTAAACAATTGTATACAAAGTATTTGTGACTTTTTGTCCTATCAAATTTGTGACTTTCTGTCCATTTACCCTTTTAAACTGTCATCTCCTTTCCCCTGAAAATAGACCAAAAGCACAACAAAAGATTGTCCCGTGGAAATAAGGTTATAAAATACCTTTTAAGTAGTGTCTTCTATGTTGCTTTGATGTGTGACCTTGGTTCCCACTTAAAAGATTTATTTTTTTAGATTTTTGTTGCACAGAGGACACTCAATGACACATATCCATGTATGTATGCACTATTGTTTAATTGTTTTTGTTTTTTTGGCTGGTCTCTCGCTTATGTCTTCGTCACTATCACTATCAACAGAGCTCGTTATCAGATAATTCAACTAGGAGTATATCTATGTCGTAACTATTAAGATCGGCATCCCACGAAATAAAATCGGACTTTGCCATATGAATGAAGCTTTGTTCGAATACGAAACTGATTGTAATTTTCTTTAATATAGATCCTCAATACACACTAAGAACATGTAGAAACCATAAATTTACCGATAATCAATTACAAAAACAACTCAATGCAAGCCAATAATGAAACTATCAAAACACACA